TGGTGGGGGATTTTTAGGGTGTTACTATGTGGTAGCTAGAGTACTTACTTGCAGTGGTTGCTAGGGTGTTGCTATGCGGTTGCTATGGTACTCGCAGTGGATGCTAAGGTGTTGCTATGTGGTTGCTAGGGAATTCTGAGTGGTTGAAATGGTACTCGCGGTGGTTGCTAGGGTGTTGGCTATATGGTTGCTAGGGCATTCTTGCTGGTTGCTATGCAATATTTAAGATACTTGGGGTGGTTCCTAAGGTGTTACTATGCAAATGTTTGGGTACTCTGGGTGGACGTTAGGGTGTTGCTATGGTATTCTGGGTGGTTGCTAGGCTACTCATTGCTAGCATATAAATACCATGGAAAAAAAGAGCATTATAGGACCCCTTTAATAGATGAGTTTGGACAAGAGTCCTGATCCGATCACAGCTTCATTTCATAATCCAAATAACATTTGAGCGCTCAGGTCCATATGTTAAGATTTAAACTACTTCAGATATTTTTCTTTTTGTCCTGCAGCTGTGAATCTGTGAAGGACGATGGCGTCTGTTAAAGAGCTGCTCCTGAACTCACTGGAGAACCTGACAGAAGATCATCTAAAGAGGTTTCAGTGGACCTTAGAGAATGATCATGAGTGTATAACAAAGTCTGATATGGAGAATGCAGATAGGTTGGAAACTATGGATAAGATGGTAGCATGTTTTGGACCAGAAGAAGTTGTGAAGATCACGGTGGAGATCCTGAGGAAGATGAACCAGAACAATCTGGCTGAGCAGCTGGAGAACAAACACAAGCAAGGTGAGGTTTAATTCACTGTGACTGTAATGTGGTTGACTGTTTACCAATGTAATGGCTTGACTTAAACTTTGCTCTGCTGATGTGTTTGTGTGGTCTGTGTTCCTCAGTGAGTGATCCTCTCTCTCACACACATACAGGTCAGGCTGAAGGAAATATAAAGACATCTGCCGCTGTTGGTTTCTTTTCACTGGTCAATTTTGAGATTTTGGGCTATTTGTCTTCAATAACGTCTTATTTCAGACTTGTGGTGAAAAAAATTCCAAAATACACATTTAGGTTTTTATTTTACTATACTTTGTTTGTGTCTGTACATTTCTCCTAAATTCAACAAAAAGTTGTCGTTCTAAATCAACATGCTGCTCTGCGATCTGCACCATCATCACATAAAAAAAAAAGCTCTCTCTCTCCTGTACGTTGTTGTCGGATCCATATGGTCATTTCCTTTTTATCAGCAACCAATCGTGAAAGTACTATGGGCATTTAACTCTAAAACCAAAACCTCATTGGGTGATGTCAATTTCTAAAAATGTGATTCGTTCAGATGCATCACGTGACGTGCACTGACATTTATATGTGTCTTTATGAGGTTTAGGTTTTTGGTTTGTATTGTTGTTGCTAATGATTTAATAAGATATTGTGTCTGTAAATGGTTGATTCCACAAAAAAAAGGTATGAATTTTTACATTACAAATCTTTAAATGGTGTTTTCTAAAAATGAGTTTTTTTGTCATTCTCCAGTAGAAACATCTCAGCCTGTGTAGCACCTATGTACACCAAACTTTCCAGTTATACACTTAGCGGTATTCTGAAGATATTTCAGAGGGATTTGTTTATAAATAATTCCTGGCCTGATTTATGTGACATTTTAATCAAGATGTCAATACGGCGAGAATTTTTTTTTGAAGGCTATGGACAGTATATTTAGATTTTCTAGATAATGAAAGCATATATCCTGAAATCCCTCTGAATTTTATTTTCATCTTGTGTGTAAACAAAATGAAAAAAATATTTTTTTTTTACACTTGGCTTTATCATATGTCCAGATCTATCTACCGAAAATATATGCAAAATTTTGCATATTTAATGAGATAATGCCTAATTTGCATAATTAAACATACAAATTTCAAAAACTTGAATTTATATTTATATACTTGTGTAAGTAATCAACTGAGAAAGTTTCATGGTGATATCTATTATTTAATTTTTTTATCCCATTCACCTGTAGTGTCTCGCCTTAAAAAAATGAAACCAATTGCATTCGAGTCAGGACATTTACATAACCATTTATATTGTCAGCTTCAGCATAATCAATGTAAGATGTGTATGTAAACACTACTGAAGTAAGAATGTGATTAATTTGAATATAGTAGAAGTATGAATTTATGAAAAACACGATCACTTAGTCTTTGCTGTCTTTTCCCTTCTTTCTTAAAGGTTCAACTGCAGACGATAGAAAAGCTACTCCTCATGATTACACAGAGACCAGCCGCAGACTGAAGGACATATTAAAACGGGACTACAAGCGGATATTGGTTGGTAATTCAGAGACGGGTCATCAGAAAAACCTGAACGATATTTACACTGATTTATATGTGGTGGAGAATGAGACTGGAGGAAGAGTGAACGAGCACGAGGTGATACAGATCGAATCTCACAACAGACCGACTGCCAAGGAGACTCAAGTCAAGTATAATGACATGTTTAAACAAAACTCAAAGGTACTGACGATGGGGATCGCAGGAGTGGGAAAAACTGTCGCTGTCAATAAATTCATCCTTGACTGGGCTGAAGGAAAAGAAAATCAGAATATAAACTTCATATTTCCACTTCCATTGCGTAGATTGAATTTGATTAAAGAAGAGTATAGTCTAATGGGACTGCTCAACAAATACTTCTTTAGTAGTCCTGAAGAATTGCCATCTCTTCCTGAAGGTGATGGTAAAGTTATGTTCATCTTTGATGGGCTGGATGAATGTCGCTTCCCTTTGAACTTTATAGAAGATGACATATTTACAAATGTGAAAGAAAAAACAACAGTGAGTAAGATAATAATAAACCTTATCAAGGCACATCTGCTTCCCTCTGCTCTCATCTGGATCACTTCCAGACCAGCAGCAGTCAGTCTGATTCCCCGAAGATACATTGATCAGGTGACAGAGGTGCGAGGATTTAATGATGAGCAGAAAGAGCAATACTTCATCAAAAACAGCAGTCCTGAGGTTGCTAGAAACATCATCAGTCACATCAAGAAATCCAGGAGTCTGTACATCATGTGCCATATTCCTGTCTTCTGCTGGATCTCTCTTATTGTTCTTCAGCCTCTACTGGCTCGAAAGAGCAATGACAAATCTCCCACAACTCTCACAGAGATGTACACAAGCTTCTTAATTATTCAGAAGAAACAGAAGAAAGAAAAATACTGTGGTGACCCTGAACCTAAAGCAAATGCAGTGTCCTTTGATCAGATTATTCTGAAGCTTGGGAAACTGGCCTTTCAACAGCTGGAGAAAGAAAGCCTGATTTTCTACAACGAAGATCTTGAGGAATGTGGACTCGATGTCAGGGAAGGGTCACTGTACTCTGGGTTATGCACTCGAATGTTTCAGGAGGAAAAGAAAGCAGCAAGAAACGTTTTCAGCTTCGTACATCACAGCGTCCAGGAATTCCTTGCTGCTCTTTATGTGTTTATGATGAACAAAGATGGGAAAGCTGACCTAATTCTTCAGTCCGGCAAAGAAAAACTGACATGGAAACTGTCCAAAAAGTCACAGTTTCAGCTTCATAAGGCTGCAATCAACAAGGCTTTAAGAAGCAAGAACGGACACCTGGACCTTTTCCTTCGGTTCCTCCTGGGTCTCTCACTGGAGTCCAATCAGAGTGACCTGAGGGAACTACTGCCAGGACTGAAACTCAAATCAGAGAACATTAAAGACACTGTTGACTATATCAAAAAGAAAATAAAGAAGGAGAAATCAGTAGAGAGGACCATCAATCTCTTCTACTGTCTGAGCGAACTGAAAGATGACTTTGAGGAGGAAATCCAGAAATATCTGAGCTCAGGAAATCTTTCAGCAGGTCTCTCCTCTGCTCAGTGGTCTGGTCTGGTGTACATGCTCCTGATGTCAGAAGAGACTCAAGAGATGTTTGAACTGCAGAAATACAGAAGATCTGATGAAGCAGTGATGAGACTACTGCCAGTCATCAAAAACACCAGAAGAGCACTGTAAGAGTCTCCTTTATATTCACTGATACACACTGTTAGTCTTTTGTAATTGCCTTCATTTTAAATGGGTGACTTGCTGGCCTAGACAGTTCAGAAAAATTAATAAATGTAATGTGTGTGAAAATAAATGCTTGTTTGATGTTTTATGAAGAGATAATAGTTTTTGCTTTGCTTTATTCACTACACTTAAAGGTTTTTTCAAGCTCCAGATTATAAACGCTAATAAGCATTAAAGGGTTAGTTCACCCAAAAATGAAAATTCTGTCAGTATTTACTCACCCTCATGTTGTTCCAACCCCGTAAGACCTTCGTTCATCTTCGGGACACAAATTAAGATATTTAAGATATTAAGATCGCTCCTGCATACTAGTCCATAGGCTTCTTGAGGGAATGACACTTGCTGGCATTGAAAAGTTATTAAAGACATCGTTAAAATAGTCCAAGTGACTACAGTGGCTCAATTTTAACTTTATCAAACGACAAGAATACTTTTTGTGTGCCAAAACAAACAAAAATAACGACTTTATTTCAACTATTCACTTCCTTCTCCATGGGCCTGTAGTCAGTTAACGTAGTGTGATAGCGTAAAGCTACGTCACATGAAGGCTCACTATTGGCCGACGCTGGTCATGTGTGTGTGATGGGTGTGACGTACAATAACAGAAGCTTACGCTATTAAACTAGTAACCTGACTCGCGCAGAGGGAGAAATAAATGAATAGTTGAAATAAAGTCGTTATTTTTGTTTGTTTTTGCACACAAAAGTGTTCTTGTCGTTTGATAAACTTAAGATTGAGCCACTGTAGTCACTTGGACTATTTTAACGATGTCTTTAATGACTTTTTGAGGCCAGCAAGTCATTCCCTCAAAAAGCCTATGGACTAGTATGCAGTAGTGATCCAGCTCTCAGATTTCATCAAAAATATGTTAATTGAACTCTTTTTGTGAACTAACCCTTTAATACTGCTCTTTGTGTTGTTCTCTACACAGGCTACACAGCTGTAATCTCACAGCTCAGTCCTGTGAGAGTTTATCATCAGTTCTTCAATCCTCAAACTCTGTCCTGAGAGAGCTGGACATGAGTAACAATGACCTGCAGGATTTTGGAGTGAAGCTTCTTTCTGATGAACTGAAGAGTCCAAACTGTCAGCTGGAGATACTGAGGTAAATGTTTTACAATAACAAACTATGCTACAATCAGAGGCTGACTTAACCAATAAGCAAGGTAAGCCGCCAATAAGCAAGCAAGGTAAGCCGCTTAACACCACAAGAGACAAAATATTTGCAGGAATGGGATATTTTTTCATATTTATACAGCAGTATGACCCACATGGACTGCATAAGTCTAAGAAAAATAGTGTTTAGTGTGAGGGGAAGGGAATGGCCAATATGAAGATTGAATTCTCAAAGTGGCTTTAAACAGTTACTAAAACAGTAAAATGCTTCGATTTCATGCATGATTTGCTTCTGACAGCACTGAACAAGCTAGCTAGTTAATTAGTGGCTGTGCACAGGACAGAGTTAGCATCTCAGCCAGGGTTTAAAATTAACATCACATACAGTAGGTCGACAACCAGAATGACACTTGCCGCAGTAAATTCACCGTGGCAAAAATAAACCAGCCGTATTTCAAAGTCGTTCGCGAAATGACCACCAGGTGGCACAAAGGGACATTTAGCGAATGCTACATTTTAAATAGAATATAGCAAACTTTTATAGCAGAACATTTTATTAATCAAAAGTTAAATAGGCCTATCTCGCAGTCAGTGAAAATAAATTGGGTGCTTTCAATGACGCTATTGAGGAATGCGAAGATTAAAGAGCGCTTCTCTCTCGCGCGCGCACACACTGACTGCTGAACAACCGAACTTCTGGGCATTTCTCAGTGGGAAAAGTTGTGATCGAGTGGTAGAACTTAGGTTCAATCATTTTGATGACACTATTTCAAATCCCGAATAAACATGGTATTAAAATGACCATGCATTTCCATTTTACACTATGGGACAAATCTCTTCCAACAAAAGCAGTTATGTTAAAAAAAATAGAAAATAAAACTTAATGGGGTTCCATGTAGAATAAAACAAAAAAACAAGCTAAGCAAGGATTTGCCGACAGTAATCAATGCTATAATTAGCCTAAATAGACAATATCAAATATATATATATTTTAAAAATTTGCAACACGCATTTTTAAAACACAAAATAATAAAATCTGAACCAGCGCTTCTGCTCCTGTATTGAGAGATAACATGCAGCACGTTTCAGTTTCAATGGCCTTAATAAATTAATTCACAGCTTTTTAAAATGTCAGGTGTTTTGAGGTGGTTTTGAACGAAATATTGAAATATTGAATTTTTTAATTGAGTATTTTGACACCACGCCGAGTGTGTAGGCCTATTCTAAAATCGGGTTTTATCCTGGCATTAATTAGAGTTCGACAAACGCGGCGGTGCTCACTTGAATTTATTTTTCTCATAACAGCTAAAATAAAATCATCTTTTAAAACTGTAAGATGTGTAATTTTTTCACGAAAAGTAGGCCTACACTCACAATAGATTAACGACAAAATGTTTTTTCGCTCATTTGAGCAAACACACTGGAGAACGTTTGAGCATTTCGCCGTGAGTTAAGACGTGGCCGAGTGGTAGAACTTACGGTTCGAACATTACAGTGACATGGGTTCGAAGCTCAATCAAATATGGACTAGTTCAATTTTATATTTAGGTATTAATGCAGAAAAATGTGTCTATTTCTGTTACACCATTTAGTTTTTTTTGCTTATATGCATTTCCATTTTACACCAAGGAAGGAACAAATAGTATCCAACAGAATGACTTCTTTACATCTATAATAATACCAAACGTAATTTCTGTAAAAAAAAAAAA